CCACCAGCCATCACTTTCCAGCTGTCTGCTCTGAACGCAGTGCCATCACCACCACCACCAGCACAGAAGTAAGGGCAGCAATACCATGCCACCCTTGCTTCTGCACTGATGCTACTGGTGTCATTGCCTTCAGAGATGGGCTACTGGCCAGCAGCCGCCACTCACTGACTGCCTAGATCAAAATCACAGACATTTGTTCAGATTTCCAAAACCTACCAGGGCAGAGCTCAGAGGACCAAAAAAAAAAAGTCCTATCCAGGAAAACCTGGATGTATGGTAACCTTATCTCTACATGTTCAAGCAGTGCCTTCCACGTCCACACTGCAGTTTTTTAGCAGTATAGTGTCCTATACTGCCTCTCCCCTGCTGGAGCCTTTCCCATAAGAACGGCCATACTGGCTCAGACCAGTGGTCCATCTAGCCCACTATACTATCTTTTAACAATAGCCAATGCCAGGTGCATCAAAGGGAATGAACAGGACAGGCAACCATTGAGAGAGTCATCTCTTGTCATCCACTCCTCTGGCAAACAAAGGCTAGGGACACTCAGTACATGATGTTGCATCCCTGCCCATCCTGTCTAATAGCCATTGATGGACCTATCCTCCAGGAAATTATCTAGTTCTTTTTTGAACCCTGTTACAATCCTGGCCTTCACAACATCCTCTGGCAAGGAGTTCCACAAGTTGACTGTGAACTGTGTGAAAAAAATACTTCTTTTGTTCATTTTGTTTGTCTGCTTCCTATTAATTTCACTGGGTGACCCCTAATTTTTGTATTGTATAAAGGAGTAATAACATTTCCTTGTTCACTTTCTCCTCACCAGTTATGATTTCATAGATCTCTTTCTTATCCCTCCTCTTTAGCAGTCTGGTTTCCAAGCTAAAAAGTCATAGTCTTTTTAATCTCTCCTTATATGGAAGTTATTCCATATCCTTAATTATTTATGTTGCCCTTCTCTGTACCTTTTCTAATTCCAATATATCTTTTTTGAGATGGAGCAAACAGAACTGCATGTAGTTCAAGATGTGGGTGTACCATGGATTTATCTTGAGGCCACATGATATTTTCTGACTTGTTATCTATCCCTTTCCTAATGATTCCAAACTTTCTGTTAGCTCCAGGATGGGCAAATACTGGGCCCCAGGCCAGATTCAGTGTGCTAGGGTTAGCTCCTGGTGAGCTTCCATTGCTATATTCACCTGCACAACTGCAGGTAGCTGTAATCGCAGCTCCTGTTAGCCATGGACCACTGTTCCGAGCCAATTGAAGCTGCAGGAAGTGCTGTCCCAGTCGGTGCTGCTTCCCGTCACTCCCATTGGCTGAGAATGGCGATCCGCATCCAATGGGAGCTGAAATTGCTGGTACCTACATCCATGCAGGTAAATATAGCAACGGCAGCCCACCAGGAATTAATCCTGGCAAACAACCACCATGTTATCGCCCACCCCTGTGTTAGCTTTTTTGTCTGCCACTGCACACTGAGCAGATGTTTTCAGACAGATATCCACAATGACTCTTTCTTGCGTGGTAACAGGTAATTTAGACCCCCATCATTTTGTATGGATAGTTGGGATTACGGTTTCCAGTGTTCACACTGTTGCATTTATCTACATTGAATTTCATTTGCCATTTTGTTGCCCAGTCACCCAGGCCATAGGCTCTCACAACAGTGTGCACCTACACACCAGGGGAAAATGTGATGCAGACTGCTTTTCACTGTAGCTATGAAGGTAGAGCCTGTACTCTAAATGCCTGCTATAAATACAGACATAGTTGCTCTGTGTGTGTCAGCGCCTCCTCTCTCATGCTTTCTTAGAATGTGGTACAATTTAAGGCAGCTAGGGGTTCTGGTAAAATGCCACCCAGCAGCCCCATCAATACACCTTAATCTAGGATGAAAACAAGTAGCTGACTAGTCAATTAACTGATAAGCCTGGCCTTATCAGTTAATCTAGTTGACTCCTCGCATTTCTCCACCCCTACCCCCTTGCAGCCTCTGTATCAGAGGCAGCAGGGGTGGGGAGTAAGCAGGAGCCGGTGCTGTGAGGAGCGGGTTTAAAAGCTCCCCACCAGGCCCAGGCCCAGGCCCACTGCAGGCAGGGGCTGCTGCAGCAAAGCACTCGCTGTCCACAACGATGCCAGTGCTGGCCACAGACAGAGGCTACTTCAGGGCAGCAGCCCCTGTCCTCTCTCTGTATCAGAGGCAGCAGTTCAGAACAGCAGGCAGCCAGTCTGTGAGGGGAGCTGGTTTTTAAACTGACTCCCCTCATAGACCAGCTCCCACCTGGCACCTCGCCCTGCTGCCTCTGTATCAGGGGGCTCCCCAGGAATGGGGTCAGAGCACACTGGCTGCTGGCCCCGCTCCCGAAGACTATACAATAGTCAACTAGCCACTAAGAAGTAATGCGGTTATTTGACTATTCAGTTAACCAATAGCTAACATCCCTACCTTAATCCTGCCCTGCAAAATTCCCTGCTATTTTAGTCCTGACAGCCCCCAAACTCTTGTCACTCTCAGGTGATTTCCTTGTTACTGTTGCTCACAAGAGTGTTGCTAGGATGTGGTAGGAAGTATGTTTCTTGCTCTCCTTGGACAATAGAGTTGTTAATGATACAGCGTCTTGAGAACAGTGACACACACCAGGTAGAAGAGGAAGACTAGGGGCTTTCTCTCTCTAAATAGTGTGCAGGAAGGTAATAACTCTCCCTCTAAGTCCCATTGTTAATATCATCCTCACCCATGAGTTTCATTGTATCCACTAGAGGTCGGTGTGATGCTACATGAGAAGCAATATCTATAGACTCTTTGGTCTAAACATCAATGGTCAGTGATGATAGAGTAGGTCCATGTCATCCACACCCTGTCAACTTTTCCTGCTCTTTTCAAGTCCCTGCTTTCAAAGCAGAGACTAGGCTCTAGAGCACAAAGAGAGATGTCCTTCGCACACAACTCTCCACTGTGATGAAACCTATCCTTTGAATAGTAACCTATCCTTTAAATTGGCTTCTGAACCCAATGACTAGAAGATAACTAATGTAACGCCAATATTTACAAAGGGCTCTAGAGGCGATCCCGGCAATTACAGACCAGTAAGTCTAACATCAGTACCGGGCAAATTAGTTGAAACAATAGTAAAGAATAAAATGGACACATAGAAGACACATAATTTGTTGGGGGAAAGTCAACATGGTTTCTGTAAAGGAAAATCATGTCTTACTAATCTATTAGAGTTCTTTGAAGGGGTCAACAAACATGTGGACAAGGGGATCCAGTAGATATAGTGTACTTAGATTTCCAGAAAACCTTGGACAAAGTCCCTCACCAAAGGCTCTTACATAAATTAAGTTGTCATGGGATAAGAGGGAAGATCCTTTCATGGGCTGAAAACTGGTTAAAAGACAGGAAACAAAGGGCAGGAACAAATGGTAAAATTTCAGAATGGAGAGGGGTAACTAGTTGTGTTCCCCAAGGGTCAGTCCTAGGACAAATCCTGTTCAACTTATTCATAAATAATTTGGAGAAAGGGGTAAACAGTGAGGTGGCAAAGTTTGCAGACAATACTAAGCTGCTCAAGATAGTTAAGACCAAAGCAGATTGTGAAGAACTTCAAAAAGATCTCACAAAATTAAGTGATTGGGCAACAAAATGGCAAATGAAATGTAATATGGATAAATGTAAAGTAATGCACATTGGAAAAAATAACTCCAACTATTCATACAATATGATGGGAACTAATTTAGCTACAACTAATCAGGAAAGAGATCTTGGAGTCATCATGGATAGTTCTCTGAAGACGTAGTGTGCAGCGGCAGTCAAAGAAGCAAGTAGGATGTTAGGAATTATTAAAAAAGGGATAGAGAATAAGACAGAAAACATCTTATTGCCCTTCAATAAATCCATGGTATGTCCACATCTTGAATACTGCATATAGATGTGGTCTACTCATTTCAAAAAAGATATACTGGCATTAGAGAAGGTTCAGAGAAGGGCAACTAAAATGATTAGGGGTTTGGAACGGATCCCATATGAGGAGAGATTAAAGAGACTAAGACTTTACAGCTTGGAAAAGAGGAGACTAAGGGGGCATATGATAGAGATCTATAAAATCATGAGTGGTGTGGAGAAAGTGAATAAGGAAAGTTATTTACTTGTTCCCATAATATAAGAACAAGGGGCCACCAAATGAAATTAATGGGCAGCAGGTTTAAAACAAATAAATGGAAGTTCTTCTTCACACAGCGCATAGTCAACCTGTGGAACTCCTTGCCTGAGCCTGAGGGTTAGGACTATAACAGGGTTTAAAAGAGAACTAGATACATTCATGGAGGTTAAGTCCATTAATGGCTATTTGCCAGGATGGGTAAGAAATGGTGTCCCGAGCTTCTGTTAGTCAGAGGGTGGAGATGGATGGCAGGAGAGAGATCGCTTGATCAGTACCCGTTCGGTTCACTCCCTCTGGGGCATCTGGCATTGGCCACTGTCAGCAGACAGGATACTGGGCTGGATGGACCTTTGGTCTGTCCCGGTACGGCCCTTCTTATGTTCTTATGTGATGCGGCATCAAGTTCAAGGGAAGGAAGATGGAAAAGGCTGCATTTTCAGAAAGGATTTCCATGGATCTAAATCCATAGCAAAATGCACTAGCCCGGTATGCTAAATACTACTCTGCAATGGATTTTCAATCCTTCTCTTTAGATTCACAGAAATCCTCCCTGAAGCTATAGGCCCTCAGCCCTGCCGCTTCCAAAGTGCCGCAGCATTGCAGGAGAAGGGAAAAGCCTTCAGCATCCTCACACTGCCAAGTGTATTGCCAGCTAAGATTTTGTTGTTGTTTTTATTTGCCTATTATTGCTCTGGCACAGATATTAGAATTGCTGCTCCCGTGGGTACTGGAGGGATTGTTCTCTCAGGGAAAGCCTGTGCACCACTGCCCTTATTTGGATGGAAGTTAGAAGACCTTTTTGCCGTGTTGCCAGCCTCACGGGAAAAATTTGGATCCTCCAAAAAACCATGAGATTGACCCAAAAGTCATGATATTTACATTTCTATATCTCTATATTGTGTGTTTTGGTCTGTCTTTGATTTCTGAACTCCCCATCCCCATCGCCAGGGAGTGTGTGACAATGTTGCCCATGCTCTCAAAGGGTATGTCTACACTACAAAGTTAGTTCGAACTAACAGACGTTAGTTCGAACTAACTTTCATAGGCGCTACACTAGCGCTCCGTTAGTTCGAACTTAATTCGAACTAACGGAGCGCTTAGTTCGAACTAGGTAATCCTCATTCCACGAGGATTAAGCCTAGTTCGAACTTACTAGTTCAAATTAAGGGCTGTGTAGCCCCTTAATTCGAACTAGTGGCGGAGCGCTTAGTTCGAACTAGGTAATCCTCATTCCACGAGGATTAAGCATAGTTCGAACTTACTAGTTCGAATTAAAGGCTGTGTAGACCCTTAATTCGAACTAGTGGGAGGCTAGCCCTCCCCAGGTTTCCCTGGTGGCTACT